AGAGAGAGAGAGAGAGAGAGAGAGAGAGAGAGAGAGAGAGAGAGAGAATGAATTTCTGTGTAGTTCTGTACTGTCTTACACAAACCACCATGCTGGACTGGAATATACATAGATGTCGCCATCCCTGAGTGCTCAAGTGCTGGGATTAAAGATGTGCCACCACACCTAGAAACTGCCACTTCTTAACTCTGAGATCTTTGACAAGCATTTTTTACTTAATTACAGCTCATTTTCTCTGTAAAATGGAAATAGCAATACCAACTTCACCAAATTAAGTGGATCAAACAAATTTAAGTGCAAAGTTTTTATGCACACAAACCTAGCCCAATTCCTGGCATTAGATGAACATTATGTAAATACAGGTTTCTCTTCCTCATTAATTGACCACCATGAACCCAGTTCTACTTTCTAGCTACAAGTTTCCATGACAACTGAGGAATAATATCTAAATAAGAAAAACGAGATATATACATTTTGGTAACATCCAAATGTGATACCTTTCACCCAAAACTTTAATAAGAGTAAGTACATACACTATTTAAATGTAAAAAAAAAATCAGCTTTTATTATCAAACAGCCACCATTGCTAAATGGGACCTGTAGCCCCAGCCTGTGCAGAGACAGTGCTAGAACCAGAGTGATGACATTCCCTGTTTCTAAAATAGGAAGAGGTTATTCTATTGGGAAAAAGAAAGACCAGAGAGATCTTACAGGACCTCTTCTACAAAATAATTGAAGGCAGAGGGTGTCATCCATTTCCTTCAGCAAACACTGAGGACTTTAAAGAGCTTCTTGGATATGTTTCTCCTACTCTGAAACTAAAGAGGGTCAGGAGATAGCCAAAGATCTGGGAACAAAACGGGTAAGCTATTCTATATCTGGTCCTATTTCTCCCACATCTATCCTAGGCTTCTGTGAAGAGAAGTTCACAGCCTCAGAAGAGGGCTGGAGTTTGACCGGAATTCCCCCTCTGTATTTAAATTTAAGAAAAAAAAAAGCTTCTACCTAACCTATGTTTGGGTTAATAATCACAACTCCATGGAAACAAAATTGCTCTATATTTCTTAAGACTCTGCTAAGACATGAGTGCTTTGTGTCTAACACAAACTCAAGTAAACCCAACAAGGCAGTGCCTCCCATGGTCAAAACAAATAGCTGGAGGACCCAAGCCACTGGAAGTAGACATCTCAGCTGCTGAGGCAAGTACTCCAGAGATCGGTGATGATTTCTTGGTCCCTCTTGTCCAGTTCTAATCACACTCCTTCATCTCTCCCATGATTAGTCTGTGTTTCAAATGCATATGTCTGGCGCTGAGGGGCCACAAGAGGGACAGCAGGGTGAAGCTCCCTAGGAGGCAGACTAAGCCTACTCCTGGGCTCAGACCCTTCTGTGCCTTCAGGTGGGAGTTCCAGACAGCTAAGGGGCCGGGAAGAATGGGCAGAGATCATACTACAAGGAGAGGTTCTGGAGCTGAAGCTATAATCCCCAGTACAGGTCTGGGTCCGCCAAACTCCCTGAGCCTCTGTCCTCTGGCGTTCCCGGGCCAGGGCCACAGCAGCATCAAAAGAAAGACTACCCCCATTCCTCCAGGAAGCTCGAGAACCCCAAGCTTTTTCTCCAGGAGTCCCATCAAGCCTCCCAGGCCTGGGACATGGGCTTGCAGGTGCTATGTGGATCTTGCTACACATTGGACTGGGCATCTTAGCAAACTGTGGTTTGGGGGGCACTACAGGAACAGAGCGGACCTGGCGGACCTGAACTGGGGTAGAAGCCAGACGCATGCCCACACCACCAGCTGACCCACAAGGACAAGGATACAGATCACATGTCTCAGGATTGAGCTGTCCCTCAGCTTCCGTCCCCTCTGGTTCAGATGGCTGTAGTGGGGCTTGTTCCATCTCAGAGGACTGTTCATTGATTTCTTCTGTACTTTCAACCCTCAGTAACTCGACATCTGGCCCTTCAGAGAGAGCCCCCTCTTCGAAGTGGTCACCAATGCCCCTCATGCCTTCAGTTTCTACATCTATACTTTTTTGTTCCTTGCTGACACCCTCTTCCTTCCCATCATCACCTTCTTCTGGACTTGTACTGTCTTCACTGTGTCCTTGGTCCTCTCCTGACTTACGGTCATTATTCTGCCTCAGTTCTTTGATCTCACCCTCTCTGCCTTTCTCACCCTCATGTTTGTGGACAACTTCCCAGCTCTCCTTAGGAACCAGGTATTCCTGGAGCACATGCTCTGGATCCATTTCAGCTTCTACTGGGGTGTCCTCTCCTTTATCAGCTCCTTCTTTTCTCCCGATCTCTCTCTCCTTCTCATCTTTACCCTGCTCTCCTCTTGTTTTGCCCATATCCTTGGTCTCCTCTATACTTTCAACCTCTTGACCTCTGGAATTTTCTTCCTTGGCCTCTAGCTCTTCCCTACTCCCTTCTTCAAAACTACCCATCACCGTGTGGCTTTTTTCAGCCTCCCCTCCTTCCTCATCAGCTTTTCCAGCCTGGATCTCAGTCTCTGGAGTTGCCTTTGCTTCTTCCCCGTTATCTGATGTGCTTCGGGGCTCGGCCTCCTTGTCCTGCCTGGTTTCTGAGCATGCCTGTTCTTCTTCAGCCTGTGTCAGAGGTTGTTTCCCACACGTTGCTGCCTCTTCCTCCAGACTCCCTACACCTTCCCAGTTGATGGGTTTAGGCCCCAGAAGGGGACTCAAATCATCATAGGCACTCAAGAAGACTTCTTCCCCATAGTCCTCTTCTACATCAGGCGTGGAAACAGCAGAATCAAGGGAACAGCAGTTAGGAGCCAGGACGTACTGTGCATCATCCAGAGACAGATCATCTAGGGGTGGCTCCACAGAGAACTCTTCCACCTGCAGGCATAACATTGTGGCTAAGGACCAGGTAGCCCTATCCACTTTCTGGGATATACACTAGTCATATACCCAGCGTATCTCCTCCTTACCTGAGGCCCAACTCTCAGGAGTTCCTCCAGGTAGCCCATCCCAGGGTCGTCCTCCCCAAGGGAGAAAGATGCTGCTCCTGCTGCTCCTGCGGCTTCTGCCTTGGCCACCTCCCTGTCCTCCACCCCCACCCACTCAGGCTCTGAGCTGCTCAAATCCTCTAGGAAGGAGAAGGAATCTTGCACCTCCTGAGACAAGGAGTCCTCCAGGGCAGGAGCCATGTCTTCAGGGCTCAAGTCATCCAGGGGACCTGGGACTGATCTTGACTCTGATTTCTCATCTATTGAGAGAAAGACAGTTCCAGGAATCAAGACATCAAAGTCAGCCCAACCCTTTCCAATATAGTATTTCTCTCATTGATGTTGCTAGGGGACCAGCACTCCTAGTATATAATAGTCTACATGGCTCATCCTCTCAGACCAGAATGACTAACTACTTATATAGCTCTCTTGGTTAGTTCTCACTGAAGTAGAAAGCACTATGGGTTATTTGTGTATTTCTTTATTTTTGAGGCAAGGTGTCACTACACAGCACTCCTTGGACTGGTCCTGGCGAGGTAAACCAGATTGGCCTCAAATTGACAGAGATCATCCTATCTCTGCCTCCTAAGTGTTGGGATTAAACACATGTACCATCATGACCAGCTCTAAGCATTGTGTTTTATAGTTTTACAATGAATTTTCCTGTTTTCCCTGAAGAATAAAATATTACATGGAGGGGTTAGAAAGATGGTTCTGAGCCGGGTGGTGGTGGTGCATGCCTTTAATCCCAGCACTTGGGAGGCAGAGGCAGGCGGATTTCTGAGTTCGAGGCCAGCCTGGTCTGTGGTACAGATAAAACCTGAACGTCTCTGTACTTATCTCTCTCACTTACGTCTGCCCTATGCAACCTCAGGTCTCCCATCAGTGACACTTTGGGATGAGGAATCAGAGCATGGGTCAGATCCTAGCTTTGCTTCGCCCTACCTAACTCAGTAGTAAATTGTTTAAGATGACTTTCAGGCTCTTGCTGTAATGTGAGAATAACAATACTTATATCTTCATACTATGAAAAAAGGAAGTGAGCAAATGCCTCCCGATGCTCAGCACATGTTGATAAGTGTTGGCTAGCTCTATAACCCTGGCTGTCTGTCCTGGAACTCATCTGTAGACCAGGCTGGCCTCGAACTCAAAATCCACCTGCCTCTGCCTCCCAAGTGCTGGGATTAAAGGCGTGCGCCACCACCGCCCGGCTGCAGTGACTCTTAAAACCAGCTTTTACTTACTCACATTTACTAAACCCCTTCCGTGTCTGGCACACAATCTCTATTCCTTGAGTAAATCAGTGGACTTGAAGCCTAACATAGATTCCCCTCCCTGCGAACTTTATATAACATGATAATATTATGGATTCCCAAACTTCAAATCTAGGCAGGCAATATCAGGCAACACAAAGTCTAAGAGTTGAGGCCTCTGACCTTCCAAGCCTACATCCTCAGCCCAGAACTTCAACCTAAATTTCTAGACCCCTTACCAGCCCTAGGCAATCTCCAAGTTCTCACCTGGGGGGCCAGGGCCAAGGCCTGGGCCTGGGCCAGGACCTGAGGCAGGGCTTGGCCTGGGCTGTAGGGCAGGACACTCAAGGCCTCGGGTGAGCCTGACCAAGGAGACGTTAGAGATGATGTTTGGAGGTACGCTGAGGATAGAGGTTATGTGCAGAGGGAGGTTGACGTTGTAGGGATCTGAGATGTGGACGCCAGCACAGCGCTCCGCTCGACTGCTCCCTAAGGCCCGAACAGCCGACCGCCCAGCTCGTGGAGTTCCTGGCTCAGAATTCGCACTGCCCTGTGCCTCTGCTTCGGACTCTTGTTCACCTTCTGCTGCATCCATGGAACTACTCTCCAAGTTCTCAGTCATCAGTGAGCTTGGCTGAGAACTGCTGGACCCCACCAGTCCCTCTGGCTCTGTAGAAGAGAGAGAGGGTCAGGTAGTCATTAGCCTCAGCTTCAAGGGGTCTTGACAGCTCATGTAAGACCTCATCAGCTCTGTTTTCTTAGATTCTAGAGGCAGGAGAAGTGGAAGGTACCAGACCCAGGTTCCTTTAGCCACTACTGCAACTTATTGACCCAGTCAGCAGATCAAAAGTCACACCTACCTAATGGATCTTCTTCCTCTCTGTAGATACAGTCACCAGCTACCACTACCACACACATGAGTGTTTATGCTCGCCTATATACATACCCAGAGTCTCCTTCACATACAAATACTCATGAATACACTCAGAGATCAGACAATAGGTTCATCACTGTAAAACCTGGCATCTACCTCCAAGACTGATATATTAATAGGAACTCATTAATTTTTTTTTAATTACTGGGCATAGTTGGCTACACTTGTAAACCCACAGGCCTTTGCTGCTGTTGTCACAGCACATACACATTCACGGACACGGACACGGACACACATAAGCACTAAGACCTCTACTCACCATCACTGGCCCCAGCGGCAGCACTCAGAGAGTCCATGCTTTTAGCAGGCCGCAGTGTCCCCTTACTGGATTTTTCTTCTGAAAATATGGATGTACATAGCACCAGGACCTTGCACATACTCAGCAGAGTCCTACCCCCACCATTCCAGACTTACCCCTGTCCTCAGTCCTCAGTGGAAGTTTACGTTTTGTCTCGTGTCCAGAGCGACCCAAATTGAAGATAGAGCGCCATTTCCTGACCTTCAGTGACCCCTTTCTCCTGCAGATAATGAAGATACAATCAGGAGCACAGCCTGGTGATCCGTCAAGGGAAGGAGTCCCAGGAAGGAGACCTTACTTGTGTTCTGCAATCTCAATGATAGTATGGTAGGGTCGGATCTGTGGAGGTCCATCCCCAGCCTGCAAGACACTAGGCAAGTGGTACGGAAGAGATGTAGGCATGAGCTCCTCCGAGCTGCCTGATGCCCGGGCTCCTGGAAGTGATTTCCATCCGCTCTCCAAATCTACACCAGCTAGGAAAACAAAAGGAACTGGCCAGTCAAAAACAGAGCCAAGAAAGGAACCTCAAGTCCCCAGTCTATCCCTACCTCACCAATTACCAAACTAAAGATATATTCAGAGGCTTTTGGAAATAGACCCTCTGTATCCATTTCAGAAGGCTATTCTCACAACAAAGGGGACCAGGAGATCCCAAGAGGTGCTGCAAAGGCCAATCTGTATGCTACAATGACAGTAGAAAGCACCTGCCCAGGCCCTAGCTGTATTAATATCTCTCCAGTGGCCTCTGTATATGACGATCGCCTACTTCTCTCTATGAGACAGTCTTCCTACCCACAATATGGGAAAACTGAATTAAGAGACTTTGAGACTCTCTATACTTGATCTTAGTTAAAAGGCCACAAAACAACTAAAGCTGTCTCTAACATGATTCCCCTGGCAGAGAGTGGCGATATGTAATGGACAGAGAGGATACTAACCAGAGAGGGAATCACCCCTAAAGAGCTGGTCCACATGGGTGAGGATGAACTCCACAACAATGGACTGCACACGAACCTCCATGAACGCTGCTGTGCCATTGAAGCCCGAGGCCTCTATGTCCTTAGACCTGTAAAGATGTGGAGTCGGTCCCTCCCATGTCTCAAAACACTTTTCCTATCTAAACTCCTCCTGAAACATATATGTGTGTAAATATATATGTATGAATACACACCACACACACACACACTATATATATATATATATATATATATATATATATATATATATATATAT